TGAAGTCCTCAGACATTTTTCTTTTGTTGTTTCTTTCTTTGCACAGGTAAACAGCACATTTCTTCTTCTACGCTTGCATTATCGGCAGAGCAGACGCTGAATGCGCACTTTCGTCTGGTTTGGTCTGCCGCGGTTTCCGTAGACTCGTGAACGCGCTTTTAGGAAATCCTATATACTACTGTTTATGCTCTAAAAACATTCTAAATGACTCACCATTAGGAAACTAAAGCCATTTCCCAAATGTCTAGGTGGAATAAAAGTACATCAAAGTAGAAGAGAAACCTCAAATTCTCCTGGTGACCTTCCAACTCCTAGAGCATAGCACATATCTAAGTGTTGGGGAATGCTAGCCAGATAAGACAGGAAATTCTATCACATACCCAAAGGCTTAGTAAAATGTATTCCAAGTATTTTGTTTTTACAAAGAGATCCATCAATTTAATTTTTTTTCCTTCATCTTCTTTTACCATCCGACTGATACCTTCATGGTGAGCATGGGTGTTTCACTGTTGAATTGAGTTGTTATTTTTGGTAGTTTTTGGGGTTTCTTTCTAATATAGTTATGTTACTAACAATAGCATAGATCCATGATTCCTAAGCTGTGGTCGAAACAGCCAAGCCGATAAATCAATTCTATATTTTCATTTATATTCAATGAGTTTTTAAATAAAAATAGTGATTTTCTTCACCAATTCATTCCTAGTGCCTTGATATTTTAACACCCTCCCTTGTCTTATTTCTCTTAGTGCAAATTCTGTCATCTGGGTCATGGCAACCAGAAAAAAAAGGTTTAAACCAGAGGTAACTGGACTCAAAGACCCACCCGTTGTTCTCATTGGTTGTTGGGAGTCTGTTGTTGTGTATGGGTTTTGTGTTTGGCCATTTGAATTACGATGAGTGTGCTTATGTAACTCCTTCGTAATAAGTTCCAGGAATGAATAGAAGACAACTGAAAACTAGAACGGCAATCCCCCTCGTTCAGTGATAGCTTTTCTTTTTTAACAAAGATATCCTCCTTAGCCCCTCCTTCAAACCATCTGTCCTCTCTGTCCAAAATCTGATAATTTTCTAAAACAAAGGTGTGACCTTTGTTCTTGTGCGAGTGGACTGCAGAATCTCTCCCAGAGCTGCTGACTCTCCTGTGTTGTGCTTTTGTTTGTGTCCTTGTTCTTTGGTTTCTCCAATGTAACTGTGCTATCTAATGAAGAAGGTAATACCAATTAGTTTACTGTGATTTTGAGAAGAGCAGTGATAAGTACTTTGCTATATTTAGCTTTAGGTTCAAAATTTGCATCTGGTAAATTCAGCAGAACCTGTGGGATTCGCTAGTTGATATGGTTAGTAATCAGATTACCTCCCTGCTGCTGTTATTTCTACTTCCTAGCTGCGTAGGCACACATTTACTGAAGGTAGATATACCACAAACCAGTTAGACTAATGTTCATAATGGTAGGTATGAAACTTCAGACATTCTCACTGTAAATTTTAACTTCTATTGACATTTCTGTTCATTTTTATATCCCAACCTTCAAAAATCCAACCATTGATTTAAAAACTGAAGCATAATTAAATTATATTAACTCTTTAAACTCCTATTTCTGTTGCCTGGTATATGTCCAATGCTCCAGAGGTGTTGGTATGTAAAACATTGTAGGAACTTTAGTAAACTTACCCTAAGGCTAAGCAGAGGAGAATGTTTTGTCGGAATGTTCATATGTGGAGTGAGTTCAAGTGCAGATTCCAAACTTAAAAGTGCAGCCTCAGTACTTTCAGTTCAAAGAAATTCAAAGTAGCTTTAAATCTGAACTCATTGTTATGAAAGGAGAGCCTAAGGACGACATAACAAGTCTTACCCCGCAGGTCCTCTCCGATGCCCAGAGCCAGACCATCTTTGGTCCACTGAACAATGCCAGAGTAGTTGAAGACGACGCAGGACAGGAGCACCCTCTGGCCCCTCACCACCGACTGGTCTGCGGGCTCCTGAGAGAATCTTGCTGTCCTCACTGCTGCTTGGAAAGCAAAAGAAGAAAAAAAAAAGAAAGAAAAGTTAAAGCTGCTTTAACATCACTCCAGCATATTATTGCACAAGCCTGCTGATAATTTGATTCAAATTTGCATTCCCCCAACAGCAATGGATTGACATCATCGCCACATTTGATCACTCTGTGGCCTGCGGCCATAAACCAAGCACCACAGTTTCTAACCAAGTTGAAAGGCAAAGGTATGGAGGGAGGAGAAGAAGAAAAGAGAAAAGAGTTGAAGATGAAAAACTATGAAGTAGGGGGAAAGGGGTAGTGTTCAAGGTCACTAAGGGGAGATCAAATAGTGATCTTCAGCCATTGGGTGGCTCACATCCCGTCTGTTCTCGCTCCCGACTTTTAGTCTCCCTCAAAACTTGGCGGCCCTCCCCTCCTCTTTCTTTCTCCCCTCTTCATTCCTCCCCATGAGTCATCTCCCAGGCTTCCACTCCCCAACCTCCAACTACAGTGGCTGTCATTGTCTTCTGGACCCTCTGCCTTCCAGTCCATAGACCACAACCGCAGCAGATGGCCCAGCACTGCCATTGCTCCCAACGACTACCTAACGTGAACACAAAGCAAGCATGAGGCTCCTGCTAGCGTTCCATGCTGCGTAATGACAAGGCATAATTAGCTGTCCCTTATAGGCATGAGACATGGAAAACTTTTAGTAAATCCAACATGGGGGATTGTTCTTTACATTTTCTGTCTTTCAGCTTTGGTTCACCCCCCCTTTTTCTTCTTGCATTCTCAGAGAGTGAATGATTAAGCCACTGCTGCATCGCCTCTCTTCCCCTCCTTCCTCCACTGTTGCATTTCTCCTTTTTTCCCTTCGCCATGATGTTGTGTGTCCTTTACCCAAATTGCTTTGCTTCACTCAGTGCTTTTACAGGCTATAAGCATGCATCACCACTCCCTCCTTCACTATAATGCTGCCTATGAATGTCCCTCTGCTGGCACTGAGCTCCCTCCACCTTTGCATTCCTACAGAACGGTTTTCTTTCTATATCCATATATAATGGTGTATATGCCCTTTTACCCATAATGCTTTCTATTTCTGTAGTCCTCCGCCTTGCTGGTTGGAAAGGGGTTAGAGGCGGACTGTCACAACTCATTTATCACATTAAATATCACCCCTCCAGCGCTTTCTCCCTCCCTCTCTTCCCTCTCTCATTCACCCATCTCTCTTCTCACTTTTCTCCCCCTCACTCCTTTTTTTCTCCACCTTTTAGCATTTATATTTCTCACTTGTCCTCTCTTTTTTTGTCACTTCTGTTTCCCTTCTACTTTCTCTCTTTTATGCCCTCACAAGTCTCCCTCAAAGCCCTGGAGCACTTCACCAAAGGTTCTTTTTTTAAACGACTGCCATATGCCTATGCACCATATACCTCCCTCATCCCTATGTCCCTATCTTTTTCATTTGCACACTTTTCCCCCCTCCTCTTCCACTTTTCCCCCCCTCACATCATGTCATATTTAAGACAATTTGTAGAGGATGAATAAGCGTGATGAAACAAAAGGGAATCAGTCATGCAAAAAAGATTTGGGGAGCAATCCTTACAATAGCTCCTGACAGTGCAGTGCTTTAATATTCTGAAGATAAAGGGGATGTGTGAGGATACACACCAAAAAAAAGGAATGGGATGCAGATGGAGGCTGGCAGCATGCATACCTAGAATAACTCCATCCCCCCCACCCCTTCCGCATGAAAAAAACCCCCAGAAAAACAAGCCTGTTTGTTCCCTGAGGAATGCCCAAGTTAACTGATTAACTAATGAATAAAAAAAACAAAAACAAAGACATATGACCATCAGGCAACCATGAAGAAATGTTCATCTGAAAACCTCTAAACATTAAGCAACCAATATGTACATGTGCTATTTATTCATATGTATTTAGTTATTCATGACAATTAAAAAATGTTAAATATGAGGTTTACATACCCTGCTTTTTCTCTTGTGGTCTGAACTGCTTTTTGATTCTATAAAACCTCAATAAAAATTTGGAAATATAATAGAATCTAATTGGTGTTTTCCTGTTTAGCTGTTAGGTTGCAATTTTAATGTAACTGTTTTACTAAAGCTGTCCATCTGATTATGGGTGTGTTTTATTTCTAGACCACAAATTGTAGAGACAGAACGATACATCGGGCGGCTTATTTTTTCAGCTCACGTTTTTTTCTTGTATCGGGCAATACTTGCACCAGTGTATTCTCATTATCAGTTCGTATGAAATCGTACGAAAAGTTATGCACAGTAATTTCGTACGTTTTTGACGTTTTTTTCATCGTATTTTTACGTCTTGCCTCGAGAGAAGATATCCTTGCGCATGCGCATCTTACGCACCATTCAATGACATAGAATTTACATACAATTAACCCTAACCCTAAGATAGAAAACAGCAAGCAACCTACTGTAGTTAGAGACATCAAGAAGTAATTATTGCACTGTTTTCCCCAGTTTTACGTCCGTCCGCGGATCTGCTTTTTTCGTCTGTCTGGATGCGCATGCGCACTGATCGGTTTTTTCGAGGAAAAACGTCAAAAACGTACGAAATACTGTGCATAACTTTTCGTACGATTTCATACGAACTGATAATGAGAATATGTTGCTTGCACACATTGAACAATTACATAACTGCGATGAGCAGACATGCCTTGTGCTCATGTGAACTGAATTAAACATTTTACCAGTGTAATTTTCATGCATCTTGAGTTATTATTTTGAAAGGTTAATAATTATTAAAGATGTTGTAAGTTTGGTGACGTATTTCCGCCCTGGGGCTCAAAAAGTCTTTGGCCATAGGCTCTTGTTGAAAGTTGTTCATGTGCAGTACCGCCTTTGCAAAACAAAATGAAAGGAGATCTCGGGGTGTAGCTCTCCTGCACCCAGAGCTGAAAGGAACTGACGTCACAGTTATAGTGCGGCTGATTGACAGGTCAGGTCATGGAAGTTGGAGACGATCATTGGTGAGAGAGAGAGAGAGAAAGGGAGCATGAAAAATTTAATTAAGTAAAGTCCCTTAAATGAAGAGAAGCTGGAGGTGAAAGCATTTGGACCTGATCAACCGAATTTCAAAATTAATCAGGAGTCCAAAAGACAGATGGAGACGGCACACTTGGTCTTTTTCCAGGACCTGGTCTACTTACAAGCCTTAGCTAACTGCATGCAGCGAGGCTTATGCTTCAGGGCTCGATGTTACCTATCGCCCGATCGCCCGGGGCAAGTAGTTTTTGTTGTCGGGAGACTACAAATTTCATTGCATTTGCCCGCCGGGCAAGTGCAATGTTCGCAAAAAAAAATTATTTATCACTCAAAATTACTTTAAAATCACTGACATTCGATGAAAACAACCCACAAGCGTTGCCGGCGCCATTTTTGTTGTTTTAGACACATTCTCGCGTGATTTGAAAAAGCCGGGGGATTTTCCACTAGATGGCGTGATTTTTGTCCACCTAGTGGTAATTTTGATGTAGTTACCAAAACGACAAACAAGCTAGAAAGTGCTACTATATGGCAGTCTTCTGTACAGTGATGCAGGTAATACATTAAAAAATTTTCATAAATTTTTTTTTTTCTCTTAGACATTGGAGAGGTGCATTTAAATGTTATAGAGCTAAACATGTTAAATTGGTGACCTGTTATTATTATTGTCTTGTTGCTGCATTTATTTTGTCACGGAAAACTAATCCTGAGTCAGTTAAAAGTCAGGGAATTCTGAAATGATGTAAGACTGTGGAAACCCTGTATAAAATAACTATGTATAATGATTCTCTAGAAAAGTCACATTATATTAATAGTATTATCTTGTATAAACATACCGTGACTCTAAAATAAAAGTTATTCATCTGTGACATTGACTTCTGTCTTGTGATTTATTTTAAGTTTTTAACCTGTCATATTTTTTTTAGATTTTTAACATTACAATTTATATTTTTCCAAGCACATAACAGTTTCAAGCAAAGTTTAGTTTGAAAAGAATGTGCAGGAAGGATTGAAAAGCATGTTAACACGGTAATGTAGGCTTGAGTTCATTATCTGACGCATGCATATACACACCAGGAACCTGGAAACTTACTGAATTACAAAAAACATTAAAAAAACAAACATGTTTCATTGATATATATACAAAAATGAATATTAGGAACTATATTTATCAAACATTATACTGGGCAAGTAAAAATTGTTTCTGGGCAAATGAAATGTAAAAGTCACTTGCCCTTTGGGCAAGTGGTAAAAATCCTTAATGTCAACCCCTGCACTTTATTCTGCTTTCTGCCTCCTTTTTAAAACGTCATGGTCTGACCCAGTATGGATAAAGACAGGTAGGACGGATTTAAAGCACTTTTTAGAAAAGGCAAGAAGCATGAACAACTTGGGATTCACATGGAAAATAATATAATAGTGTACTTTTTCAAGGCGTTAGTAAATTTGCATAATTGCTCTTAAATAAACACATTCTCAGAAAATACATAGTAGTTATGGATTAAAAAAATAAAGCTAATAGCTTCTACATGATTAAACTGGTACATAATTTTTTTTTAAGGTTTGTGCCACAATAATAAAGCATTCAAAACTGTAAAACACAGATTTGCCTTCACAAAGCCTAAGAAGGGTAACATTTTGTACAAAAAGTAAACCTATAAATGAAATTAAGTGTTTTTTGTTGTTGTTGGAATTAATATAAATATACTGGAATGATAAATTAGAATATGTTTGATTGTTTTTTGGTATGTCTGTTTTGAATGTATAGCCCCACTCAGGAGAAAACTCCTCCAGCCGCCACTGGTTTAAAGTGTATTTAGTGATGGTATATAGAAATCCATTATAATAAAAAGAGAAGACCCACAAATAATTTTTTTATGCTTTCTTTAGGGTCTTTTAGAATTGCTCCTTTCATAGAGAATATAAATGTTCACAAGGCTTCTCTTTTCTCACTTCAAATTCCAACACAAAGGTGGGCAGTGTCTATATGGGCCCCAGAAAACA